CCCCAAAACCCCAAAACCCCAAAACCCCAAAACCCCTGGAATAAAATATAAAAATGAAAATAAACGGAAGAAATAGTCATGGCTATCATCCTCTTTTTAGTGTTAAGAGGGATAATTTCACGAGTGATCGGGTCTATACACCTGTTGGTCGCCCCAAGACAGGTCAAGTACCCTCGAAGAAATCGATTCTAAAGAAGAGCTCTATGACTGCCATTGGATCTTATACACAAAATTAACTTTAAAAAGAATGCTTCTTTTGCTAGTGATAAGTCATATAACATCGAGAGTAAGACTTCTCTAACTAATTTGGACACATAGCTTAACCCAAACACATTTTATGCTTCTGAATCTTTATGTCATTGAGGAGGTAGCTAATTTCTCCCAAAAGCTATTGGACTTAAATCAAGATTTAAATGCCTAATTTAGATTCACAAGCTGTTCAAATCAGTCAGTCAATTCCTCAAAACAGAAAACCTCTGTCTCAACAAAGGACTAGGCGCAGTGTTGATAATTTCGATAGTAATCTCGAAAACAGGATAGTTTCTTGCTATTTTCATCGGAAAAATAGGTAAAACTCTCAATAAATTCTAGGACCAAAAGTAAGCACAAAAAGCAGATCAGCTTCAGAAGGGATTATGAAGACTCCTACTGCTATTCAGGCTTTGTCAACAGTAAGCTCTCCTTTGGAATACATTTAGAGAGGTATAAAGGAAAAGTAGTCCTCAAGCCTAAGCTTAATACTGGACGGAATACTGTCATTCTTCGAGAAAAAGCTCAAAATTCCATGGTGACTTTACACATGGATGGGAAAATAGCCCTGGTAAGTTTACCTCTGATTCTGTAGAATAAGCATAAGTACGGTCCTAGAAGTAAGAACATTATAAAGCTAGGTCAGCTCCATAAAAATCAGAACTTGGGTGAAAAAGATCTTGCCAAGATAATTTCTGAAATGAGACAGAAAATATAAAAACTAATGAAGAAATTATCAGGCTCAAGCAGCTAAAATTAGACCCAGAGATTCTTGAACAAATCAGGGCTTATGGATACAAGAATGAGGATATTGATAGAGATCTAAGGAGTCTCAACACCCCTGTGTGAAACCTGTATAAACTCCTTGAAGTTGAGAAGAGAAGAAGTATTGAAGCAGAGCTAGAAAGATCTGAAGGAGATTTCGCAAAATCAGTAGATAGACGAGGTGAGTTGAGAGATGATATATAATAGAGCCAAAACCTTCAGAAAGAGAGGTCTCTGAAGAGCCAACCCCAGGCCCTCAGTCAACACTTGATAGAATGACACAAGTATTTTATAAATTCAAAAATGATCCTGACTACAAACCAAGATCTAGGAAGATCAGGTATCACAACAAGAAAACTCAGCCAAGGCTTTCATTGCACAAGTCAGTATCTGAGTTGCCTCAAAAGAGATTTTAAAAATTTCTCCCATAATTTTCAATATTTCCTTTAAAGATTGGGGTTTTGGGGTTTTGGGGTTTTGGGGTTTTGGGGTTTTGGGG